GGAGCCCGCCCCCCCCCCGCCCCGCCGCCTGAGGCGGCCCTCCCAGCCGTGGAGCCCCACAGAGGCCCAGGGAGTACTCACCCCGTTACTGGCGTTTTGGACCAAGCGGCCGGACCGGAATCGCTCGAACCTAACGGGAGGAGAGCCCCGTGAGGGAGGGTGGTGGCACTGTGATGCCCACGGGTCCTGTGAAGAGCTGCTAGGAACCGAGGTTCCAGGAAAGGAGACCAACCAGGCCCACGTTAGGGCTGGGAGAGCAGCCCACATGCACGTCACACCCCTTCCCCTGTGTGGGCTTCACCCATGGGCCCTGAGGTGAGGGAGCAGGGTGGTGGCTGGCACATCAGGCCATTGTAAGCACCCAGCCATCCCCTCAGACCCTGGGCTAGGTGCTCCTCCTGTCACTGGAGGGGGAGGTTGGGCCAACCATTTTACGGGCGGAGCCAGGCTAAAGCCCTATGTCACAGGGGGCAGGCCCTGGAGGACAGGCACGCCCTCTGCCGTGGAAGGGTCCCTGGGGGCCGCGGCCAGGCCACGCCCAGCCTGGGACTTGGCTCAGAGCAGCTACAGAACCCTCCTCTCTTACCCGGGTGGGAGACAAGAGCGATTGTGAGGGGCGAGCGGCTGCATGACATTGAAAAGCTCCCAAACGCCACGGGCAGGGGTAGCTCGGACTCTTTTCAGCTGGACCCGGAGAAGCAGACTTCACTGGGTCCCGGCTGCTGGGGCCAGCGCCTGTGAGCAGGGATCTCCACGAGGGACACGGTGAGGACGGGGTGCTGAGGGTCTCTCGGGAGGAGTGGAGTCCCTCGGAGTCTCCAGCCCGGAGCCTCTCCCACCACCTGGCTGGGAGGCACCAGGGCTGGTGGCCCCAGGCTCTGACTGAGTCTGTGGTCGGCCGGGACTGGCAGGCTAGTGGAAGTGCCCACACAGCTCCTGCCACCTGTTCTCGAAGGGGCTGAAAGGAGCCTGACAGGTTAAAAGTCAGGCCATTTAAAACTGGGACCACAAGGCAAGACCAAGGGTCAAGGCACTCAGGTTGGCTCCTGTCCCCAACTGGCTCGTCCCTGCTGGCCCAACGCCCTCTGCGGAGGCCGCCTCACCTGTCAGCCGACAGGGCCACCTTCCTTGCTGCCTCAGCTAAAGCTGAGACAAAGCCCAGGGTTGTGACAACCACAGCAAAGTCACCCTCTCAGATCCCAAATGCAAGTATCTGTCACCCTGACCATAACGGGTGCCAGACCCTCATGCCATGAGTCAGCGAGGGGCCAGGACCCCACGTCTCCAGGGGATTGGGGCTTAAACTGAGAAGAAGGCAGGCCTGGTCGAGGGGCCAGTAGGAGGCGCCCCGGGAGAGCCCGAGCCACGGGCGGAGCTGCTAGCATTCTCTCTCCTGCACCCGGGCCTGCAGTTGCGGAGTCTGCGCTTTTCCGGAGGCTCTGGAAAGGGAGTAGGACCTGCAAGGTCGTTACCTCAAACCCGCTGGTGACCCGGCCGCAGGAAGAACTGAGAGAACGCGTGCTCCCTACGCAGCACCTGGCACTCCTGCCCCTGCTGGACACTCAGACTCCCTGACATTTGCAAAGGAAGGGAAAAACCTCCTTTTTTTAAGATGGAAAAGAGAAAAGTCTTTTTCCTTATGGATACTTTTCCTTTAACCCTTTTCAAGCTCAAAGGGTCTTTAAAGGGGCAGGTGCAGCAGTGGCAGGGCCAGGGCCGGTGCCGGTGCCGGTGCCGGGCCTTCCCCTCCTGGGGCAGGTGGTGAGGAAGGCAGAGCAGCCAGAGGCTTGCAAAGGGCAGAGCCTCCCAGGAGAATAAGAGCCGTTTCCCTGTCGCCTGGAGCAAATGAGCGTCTCTGGTGGGTAGTTTCCAAATCTAATCTCCCTCCCTCTGTTCCTGAAAGAGACCCGCTCTGGCCACCAGCTTTCCGAGGGGAAGGAAGGAGCCACGCCCACCTCTCGTATCTGAGGAAGACGTTGTTGAGGTCGTCGTTGACGCGCAGCAGCTCCTCGGTGACCTCCTCGTTGCACACGTGCGAGATGAGCTCCACCACGCGCTGCTGCATGGCCCGGCAGGTCCTGTTCAGCTCCTGGGGACACACGCCTGGCTAGCCTGGCTGGGCCTTGGCCACATCTCTCTCCTTTGGGAAAACGTGCCCTGCTCCTCAGGTCGTAAGGGAGTACGTTCTTGTTCATAAAGCCGGGTGTGTGTAGGATGCAAAGTGGAAGCCCTCCCTCACTGCCCCCTTACTCCCAAGCAAACCCGCTCCTGTTCCCTGGACAGACAAATGTCCAGGCCTGCAGACTGCGGGGTGGACACAACTACATGCTGCACAAACCAGTTTTAAAATAGAAGAGAGGATTCTTTGCAGCTGGCTTTTTCTCTTCAACAGGATGTTCCAGACAACTTTCCTGCCACTTCAGTCTCATCCCTGTGTGTGTATTATAACGTATCGCACCATTCTCCCATTTGGGACACTCAGGTGCGGCCTCTTTTCTGGCCAGCGCAGTGGGTGCAGCAGCAAACACTGTACTCGCCTGCTGTGCACCCACACAGGACCACGCCCCACAGCGGAGCGGCTGGCTGACAGGGGTGGCCACGTGGAAAACTGACTGGTAACAGGAAAAGACCCTGCTGAACGACGAGATCTGTGTATCTGTACCGCAGCAACGGCAGGAGTGTTTTATGACACCATTAGATATTCACTGTGGACGGGGATGAGTGCCCAGGCTTGACCTTGCAGGGAAGAGCAGGGGAGGGACCGTGACAGGTCAGCTCACCACAGAGCAAGCAGACCGTGGTGAAGGAGGCGGGTGCTGCTGGCACATCCAGGCCATTCTATGCTGGCCACTCTCCCAGGCGGCTCAGCCTGGGGGCTCCTTCCCTGACAGCAGGGGCAGCTGAGGAAAGAAGCCTGGCCCGTGGGGGGGCAGCCCAGAAGCACCGTAGCGCAGCTGTATTTTTCAAGACAGAAGTACCTATGTTTGGCAGCTGTGTATAAAAGGCAGCTTCCTGTGGAGATGCTCTGACGTTGGGGTCCTGGGCCCTGGCCAGCTGGCTACGGCCTGTCTCGGTTCTGCCCTGCTGCCAGCCCTCTGCACAGCCGGGATGCTGCTGTCAGTCTTTCTTGGTCAATAGGGACAGAAGAAAGTCCAGTGTCTGGACGTTCTGGGTTTTTCTATGAACAGACTCTCATTCTTGGTTCCCCTAAGACTACCATTTTAGGTTTTTGGAGAAGTCAGGACCATTCCTGGAAAGAGGAGGGCTTTAAGCAAATCACTGGATTCTCATAACCCCTCTCTCCCTACCCCCGGCCTGTACCAGCTGCACCCGGGCCAAACCAGCCCAGGTAGGTGGTACCATCCCACCAGCAGCACCAGGCTGGGCTGGAGGCGGGAGGAGGACCTTGATCTCAAGTGCTCTGAACCTGCATCAGCCTGCACACTGAAGGGTCCTGGGTTCAATTCCAGTCAAGGATACATGCCCAGGTTTCGGGCTCCATCCCCAGTAGTGGGCCTGCCGGAGGCAGTTGATCAATGATTCTCTCTCATCATTGATGTTTCTACCTCTCTCTCTTCCTTTCTCTCTGAAATCAATCTATACATATAAAAGCCAAGCGACTGGAACAGTGACGCACACTGCAGTGGCCAACAGGCCCGATAGGGGCCCCAATCGGCCCCCTACAACCTCCTGCATCCCCACTCCCTGCCAGCCTGGCCTCGATCAGCCCCCATCAGGGCAGGCTGGCCGGACCCCAACTGTGCACAAATTTGTGCACCAGGCCTCTAGTAAAAATATGTAAAAATAAATAAACAAACAAATAAAATGCTCTGCACCCTGTTCTGCCCAGACCACCAGCTCCCGTCACTGTCCTCACCCTGTCCCCTGCATTAGCGCCCCAGGCCTCCAGCACTCTCTGGCTTCTGTCTCCCTGGGGAAAACAAGGGGTGCAGAAATGGTGAACCTCTGAGGTGCCTCACAGCAGGGGTTTGGGACACCCACCCTGCAGCAGCCGGGCAGCTCTGCTTTGACCTGTTTTAAACACTCCAGTTCTTTGTAGGACTTGATTTGTGGAGAAGAGTTCCAGTCCCTGACAGAAATGTTTGGGAAGAGGCAGATGGTTTCTGAGGCCTCTGCTAGCTCTCACCCTGGAGCAGGAGGCAGGGATGCCAGAAACACCTGCTTTGGCCTTGCACTTGCTGCCTTGGCCCCACCACTGCCAGGGGATGACAAGGAAGCAGCCCGGACCCCCCAGGAAAGCCTCTCCTCCCCGACCCCAGAGGAGCACCCAGGGAGTCCGGCCCGGGGTCTGAGTCAGAGAGAAAGCTTTACATGTCCATGCTTTAACCTTGTAAGTTACTGTCTTAAAACAAAGTTAAACAGGAAGAGAAAAGACAGAGAGCTAGATGGTGAGAGGAGGACTAGAATGTTAAGATTTCTGCCACCACAGCACCAGCTAGCACCGCATGGCCTCCCCGGGGTCACCCACAGGCAGGCTGCACAGGTGCCGTGGGAGACCTTGCTCTGCCTCCCCTGCCTCCAGACCTCCGGACAGAGCAGCTCCGGTCCTCACACAGGGAGCCTGCTTGCTCACTCACTCACTCGCTCGGGCAGCCTTCCTGCTGCGCAACAGCTGGGACGGAAGTTCTTAAATGGTGACAATCTGGGCTTTGGCCTCCTTCTGGGTCTGGCTCTCAACAGAGAGGGAGAACAGCTGCTTACTGTTCTTTGTGCAAAAGCCCTCACCTATTAGAGCATCTTATTAAAATGTCCTCTTTTCTGTCTAATTGATCCCAATGACTTGATCTTTTCTTCAAGGGCATGCACATCCCCACCTCACAGAACAACCCTTAGGTCCTCGCTCTGGGTGCCCTCCGAACCCCCTCCCAGTCCCGGGGAGCATGGAACAGGGTCCTGAAGACCTGCTCCTAGGGCTGCGGGGGGTGGGGGTGGGTGAAGAAGTTCTTTGTTGAAGAGAAAGGGGAATAATGAAGCTAAATGTGTAGAATAAACCAGATTTCTCCAGAGAAAACGGTCCTGGCCACCCAGTCTTTTGTTGAAATGAGATGCAGAAAGAGGGGAGCGAGAGGGCGATCAATGCCTGCCCCTCCTCTTCGCGGACAGCGTGCAGGAAGGTTCTCTACCATCGGTGCCTGGCCGTAGGAATGCCCTTGTGAGCATCACTGAATTAATTAAAAGTTATTAACTGGAGACAAAGTTCAAAAAGCTAATTTGAAAGAGACAGAAGGCACCAAACGACAGCACCAGGCTCACTAGAGTCCCGAGTGGGGACTCCAGGCCGCAGCGAAGGCGCGGACCTCAGCGGTGTGGGTGCAGCCACGCTAGGCCCCACGCAGTGCCCGTGCATGGGGGGGCAGAGACGGCCAACAGCACGGGAGAAAGGGAGGAGGGTTCTCAGGGGATGGAGCTCTCAACTTCTAATGTCCGTCCCTTGCTGAGAACTGCCTGGCCATCCTCAAGGTGGGCTGCCCACAGCCTCATCTGCACCCCGAGACCGGGTCGCGGCAGTCTCAAGCATTTAAGGTCCTACAGTGTGAATGTGGAATGTGTTTCTGCTGGTGTTAGAGACGGACAGGGCAGCAGGTACAGGGAGATAGGCTGGAGCTCCAGCTTGTGGCCGCCGTGCCTCCGCCCGGCACCGGGCAGCACGCAAGCAGGATCCCCATCCTTCCCTGGTGACGGTGATCCCGCCATGCTCCACGGGCCAGGGCCTGCGAGCATCACCAGCTCTTCAGTCCGCGGCTGAGCGGCTGAACGAGTGGCGCCTTCCTGCCCTGCTGTGCTGCTCCCCAAAGTCTGACCAAGGGCTTCCAGGGGCTGACCGACAGCTGCTGCTGCTAAGAACGAGGCGGGAGGGACTCAGCGTAGGTGTGGAGCTGGCTGCTGCCTGGAGGTCTCCCAGCCCAGAGCAGAGGCCCACACACTGAGGAGCTGCTGGGTCCCTCAGCGGCTTACTCTCCCGGGAGCTCCTGAGAGGCTGACATCGCAGGGGAGTGGAGTGGCCTCCGCCTCCCTCAACCACAGGAACCACCCAAGTCCTCAGGCCCAGCGCTCCCGGGGCTGCTCTGCCCTCCGCAGGAAGCAATCGGGACGAAACCCACCCATCATCATGGTCTGTCACACAGTGCATCCAGGGCTGACACCTCCAATTTCCTCTCTTCCCATTTCCTCCGCCTCCACCAGCAGCTCACACTCGAGACTGAGCGGCTTTTGTTGGCGTGAACATTTGGGTTGGTGACAAAAGCGTTTACTTCCATGGCCCTGGCCAGTCCTGTGAGCTCTGACAGCTACTCAGCCATCTGGCTGCCCTCCACTTGCACTAAGGGGTCCTGGGGATGGCCTGATCCTGCCACTTTCCCAGCAGCCTGTGCCGTTTTCCCACATGGAAGGCTCACTGTTTGATCTGACCTCGGCCCTTGGGAGACCCTCCCTGGCTGGCTTCTGATAGATGGGGAGGAAGAGGAGGAGAGATGTCAGGAATGACTGAAGAGTTGGCCGGCAGCCGGGGCCATGTCTGTTCACAGAGCGCCCGACTCCTGAAGCCTCCCGCTGTACCAGAGCCGCTTTTCCCGTTTGATTTAAAGACAGCAGCGAGGCTGGGAGGCTCAGAGTTGGAACAAAACAGAGGGAAGAAAACGTCATGGGAAGCAACCTATTTTTGAAGACTGTGAGCTGACACCGGGAGATTAGGTTCTGTTTGTCTTGGCTCATGGGCTTGTTTTAGAACACGCGCACACACACTGGCACACAGAACATCCCTGCTGTCTGGGTCTGCTCGGCTGTCTGGAGGCAGGCTGGCTTTGTTCAGCTCCCACCCCCGCTGCCAGGAGCTCCGCTCTGTCCACTGCAAGCCCTTGTCAGCAGGAATTCTGATGCTGACACAGCGCAGAGCTACCTCAAGCAGCCCCCTCAGCTTCCGCCGCTTCCGGACTAATCACAGATCCCAGTGCCTCCGGGAATGCCTGGAAGAACCCATCACCCAGGCGGGAGTGGAGGCCAATAGGCAGCAATGGGTGCTGGGTCCCCTGGAGCGTGGCATGTGGACAGCTGGCCCTGCTCAAGGAGGCAAGCCCGGTCTGCCCAGGTCTCAGTGAGGTTGCCTTGCTCAGCTGGCAGAGGGTGCTCATCTTGGCTTCAAGAGCAGCCTGACACCACAGTTTCGTGGAGATGAGCCGTGTCTCCGGCACTCAGCGGCGAGCTCCTCAGAGCAGGCCTCGGCACAGCATCTTGGTGCCTCTCGGGCTTTGCTCTGTGTTAGGCCCTGAACAGGCTTCCACCCCTGCTCCTCCCCCCGGGAGCTGATGGCTTCGAAGGATGAAGGGGGCACAAAAGAGATGGCTGTGTGCATTCCTGAGGACCGGCCATCAGACCGAGCCTCCACAGGCTGCAGGTGTGTGCCAACAGCAGGGGGGACGTGTGGCACTTAGGGGGCCAAGACTGACGGCCCGAGGGCAGACGAGAATAGCAACACGAGGCCTGCCTGGTGCACTCACGCCAGTTCGCCAGGCCCGTCTGGCTCCTGATTTATTTACTCAAGCATCTTGCCTCTCACTGAAAAGATCTGGCACCTGGGAGTCTACAGCACCCTCTCTCCACCCCTTCAGAGAGGCACTGCTTCTAAGGTGGTGCCAGAGCCTGAGACGGGAGTGGCGGGCCTGGGGAACAGGCCCGAGGCAGGGTGTCTGGCTCTAACCCAAGGCCCCCCCGCAGGCCAGCCCTGCACCCAGACCCCTTTCAGGCACACTGCCAGGTCCACAAGCGTCCAGAGGAGAGGCCAGGTAGTGACAGGGCCGCGGGACCACGTGTGAGCAACCTCCGCCTGGTGACGGATGCTCAGTGTCCGGGAGAAGAAAAGGGGCTTCAGCTGCCCCAGGGCCTGGGGGTCTGGGAAAGGTGTGATGAGGAGGGAAGGCTGATGATGTTAAGGGTGCAAAGCAATACACAAAAATCGTACACATAATAACATCATCTCAACCACATTTGAAATAAACATCAAAGCACTGACGATGGCTATTTGTGGATGCGGCATCAGAGAAAATTACTTTCTCCTTCGAACTTCCTTTTTCTTTAGATGAGCATGGATTTTGCAATTGGCATTTTATAATCAGGAAAAAATGTTACTAAGGAAAATAAAAAAGAGAGAGCCTGTTATTGGCCTCTGTCTGTTTCTAGGAAGCATGAGGCTGGGTCTGGGCCCACATGGACTCGACCCCTCTCTCAACGACTGCATCCCTGGGCCCAGAGCCCCAAGATGAGGCCCCTCACCTGTAGCAACTCCAGATCAGATGAATCTTCCTGCCCAGGAACCATTTCCGTTAACATCTCAGACATGACTTTTGTGTTTCCTCGAACAATGTCCAGTTCGCTCCGCAGCCTGGCGATCTGTTGGGCCCAGAGGAGGGAAGCGGGAGGGAGAGGTCGGTCACCGGTCACCGCGCCTGGCGGGGACGCCGCCCTCACTGGGACACAGGCCGCACTTCTGAAGGAGTGCAGCAGCAGCACCGTCTTGTCTCCCTCTGGTCTAGAGAGTACTGATGGGGGAGGGGGGCCACCTGGAGAGCCCGGTCACCCGTTGGCCCCCGACTCTGCCCAGGACTGGGAGGCAGCAGTGGGCAAGGAGAGAGCTCTGGGCCCAGAGGACCAAGCTGGTCTGCAGCCCCCGCTTCCCCGCCCTGGGGCAGGAACTCACCCTCAGGCCTCTGCCTCTGCTCTTTCAAGGGAAAGGTGGGGTGGGGTGGGGTGGTCCCCAGGCCCTTCAGCACTGGGTGAGGAACCGAATAGTTATAGACTCTGGCTCCCAGCAGCTTATCCCCAAAATACTGTCCTTCTGAGAGGCTGGCCAGGTTACGCACACTTTCCTGGTGTGGCAAGAGTGAGGGAGAGGCACTGAGAGAAAACCACAGGGAAGGCCACTCCCTGCCAAAGGATAACGACCCCTTGAAAGCTACCCAACCCGCCCACCCAACAGGGTCTCCAAAGCCTGGGCCTGGGCCATCTCTCCTGCAGCAGGAACACCACAGGATGGACCTTAAGCTCCGAGCCTCCATTTCCCCCACTGTGAGAAGGAACTAGGAACCCCCCAGCTGTGCAGGGCTGCTGCGGGCAGCTGATGTGGAAATGCCCCCCTCACTCGTGTGGGCACACATATACCCAACACTGCTGGGATATGCAGACAGCTGGACCGCAGGCATCTGACCTGTACTTGACCCCGTGCACGGAGGCCTCCCCACCTCTTCCTGCAGCCCCCTGAGGCCTGTGCCCTCGCACAGGTACAGGAACAGGAGGCTCAATGCATGTTTACTGGCTGGACAGATGGGAGGGATGGCCCACCAGGGGCAGGCCAGGTCCTGGCAGGCTTCTCTCTGCCTTGGGCTCTGCCTGATGGGTGGACGGCCCAGGTCTTGGCTGAGAAGAGGTTTCTGACCAGGAGGCCCAGGACTGCGCGGTTAGAAGCCATGTGGGCTCTGAAGCCCTGGGTCCTCCAGGCCCGGCTGGTCTCCTGCTGCCTCTGCTTTCATTCCCCAGGGGCAATACTCATGTCCCTCATGCGTTCCAAACCCTCTCTCCACTGTTCTGGCTGCGAGGGCTCCCCCTCACCCCGTTCCCACACACAGACAGTGGAGGGCCTCGGGCCATCCAACTTCAAACATGGCTGCCTTCCCTCTGAGCAGAAGGGGCACAGTTCTGCCCAGGGGGGCAGGTCCTGGTAATTGTAGGTGATGAAAAGGGGCACAGTTCAGTGAAGTGAGGCCCACAGTCAAGGTAAACGCGTTTCAGCTGTGGGTTTCAACAGTCTCTCCTCAGCAGAGCACGCAGAACTTGGGTGCGTATATCCTTCAACTGCCCTCAGGCCCATGACTGCCCCGCAGGTAAGAGGGCAGAGCCGGCGCCTGCTAGCTGGCCTCCCCTCCTCCCGCCCACTCCCTCCTGGGGCCCTGGCACAGCACGCCCACGAACCAGGCAGAATCATCTGCCCTCTATTTAAATGAGGCCCCAGAATGATGACATTGTCACAGGTACTATGTGAAGATTTAAAAAATATAAACATTGGATGGATTTTTTTCAAGTCTGACCGATTCTCAAATTTTAACTAATGGAAATTCTAGAGATTCACCTAAAGATCAGTCTCCACATCTCACCGAAAAACCCAGGTTGGGGTTAAAGGGCAGTGCTTCCCGGGAGGTCCCTCAGGGAGGCAGGCAGTGTTTGGGGTGAAGCAGGAAGAGGCTTCCTAAAGGGTCTCCCTGCCCGGCCGGCCTCACAGGGTAAGTCCACCCTATCTGCACACACATAGGCTGTTCCCAGCTCCGCTCCATTCCTGTGCTCTGGCCTCACCTCTGCCCCGGCTTCTTCCCCACTTCCACCCTGCACTAGCCCATCCTCCAACCATCGCCTGCTGTGCACTTTCCTCTGGCCCGCACCACCCCCACCTGCCCACCCCACACA